TAAAATTTTATTAAAAAATTTTAAAATTTAAAAAAGTTTGCAGGCAAATTTGGCTGCAAAACAATTTAAGGGATATACGTAGTATAATGTCACGAAACTTTTAAAGCTTAATCAGATTATCGTTTAACAGATTAAATTTAATTATCAGGAAGTGTTTATTATATACAATAAAAAAATAAGAAATACAATATGACAATAAAAAAAAGAATAAACTAAACTAATAAACTAATAAACTCAAATGCAAGAAAAATCTAATTCTTAATATAAACTATATAATTAAGATATTATGGGTGTAGCAGCACTTTCTAATATCTAATTGGAATTATTCAAGGTTGCCGGGATTATCAGATCTCTTTCCAATATAATGTAGATATGTAAATAAAAAAAAACAAACTAACAAACTTTAAGCGATTTAAAAAAATACAATACAGTGCAGTATATCAAAATATATTAATTTATTGGTCATTCACAAGAAAATTGAACATTTCCCATATTTGGCGTTAAATTATGAAACCATAGCGATAGCGATAGATTAAATAAAGTATTGATTAGTTTGTTTTTGACTAAATTAAATTTAAATTGCATATTTTTGCTTAGTTTTCTGCTTTATTCTTATAATTTTGAATAAATTCCTGATTCAGCTAGTCGAATTTCATGAGCCAAAAATATATATTTGCTATGATTATTAAGTAATAAAAAGTTCTGATACTTAAAAAAGTAAAATTTTTTGCATTATACATAATATTGTATTATTTATTGACATTGATATAGTTTATAGCATATGACACATAATAATATATCAAATTATGATATGTCAATTCAGATTAACATAACAATAAAAAAATATTTATCATTTTCAACATCCTTAACTCTTAAGTTTTTTACAAGCTTCTTGAATTCTTAGAGTTTCGCGATCTGGATTTATTCAAATTTTCAGATTGTATGCATTTCTTAACTAGGGCCTTCAAAGAACCATTGTACCTGGCTTTAGTCCAATCAGGAGCATGAATTGGTGGTTCATTTTCACCCTCTGCAGGTATAGTATAATCATACACTCGTTTTTTTTTTCCAACCGTTGCTTTGTGAACATAATGTCGCAAAAAATTACGTAGCTAATTAATATTTAAATATTGTTAGTTTATGACTACGTGCATTAATTGAACAAATAGAAATAAATTTACAGTAAAGGAGCACCATTGAAGATCCCGGATTACAACCATCTGCTCTCAGGTCTGTTTCCGATAATTCTGGACTGTGATATTTGTTATCCATTATTATTGAATTTAACACATGAGATCGAAATTTCCTTATAATTGGGTCTTTAAATCTTATCAAAGTTTTGATTTTCCTCACCCTACGATCTCTTTTCTATATAAAGAAATAATTAAAGATATATGTATAAATAATAGCAATAGTAGATAGCATATTTTCGAAGAATAACGTGCAGGGTATAATTTCAAAATTTGGTCTGAATTAATCTTTATTTGAGCCAAAATTCGAAATAACGCCCTGTGCGTTATCCACAAAAGTATAATAAATATTTATATAAAAGAATACTTCAGTATGCCTGAAGGTGGAATGTTTTCTTCTTGCTTCTGTATCAAGCCACTGCGAACCTTTTTGCTTTTTATAATGCTCCTCACGTTAATAACGGTGGCATTTATGAATTATATGTTTAATGACGCCATCGACAACCGGAAATACACTTCTATTAATTGTTTTTTGCACTAAAGAAAATATTTTATTTTCTATATAGATTCGTTGATCTTGAAAAGTTTTATTAAGATCCAATGCTTGATCATTTGAAAGCTTGTTCAAAATATTTTTTACTTCATTCTGAAGATTAATAAAATATTAATTATTAAATAACAAATTATTCCAGTTAAATTAACATTTAGGGATATTATATAGAGTTTTTGCCTTAAAATGACCTTGCGGGATATTCAAGACAAAGACCTATGCATTAAATTAATCGCAGCGCATTCCTTAGGCTTCTATCCATATCCTCATATTTAAGATATACAAATTCATGATTTGGCCCAGAACTTGAGGATAATGTTGAATGTTGCGATGAAGATAGAGAACTCGAATAATAATTTGATTGACTTTAGAAGTGTCTTTGTTTTGTTAATAAATGATTCTGGGAATGATTTGTAAGACATTTTGAACTGCGACTTTCAAAAGAGTCTGTAATGAATAATAATCATATAAATAAAGTAATATTATACTTGGAATTTAAATAAATATTTGTAGGTGGTTACAGATTTTTTAGATTCAGAATCCATCTAAGTAAATTTTGGCTTTTAAACTAATTTAAGTGGGATTGAATATTTAAAAATGAACATGTATCTAAAAATAAAAGGATATTCTTAGATTGACATCTAGATTAAAAGAGCTTTCGAATTGAGTTGCTAGGATTCCGAATCTGTATTCACTTATAGCATATATAAGAAATCACTAATTATAAACTTTTACCTCTTGAATTTTTTAATAGGAAACCACTTTTAGAATATTTCTGAGAATAGCTTTGAGAGTGACTTTGGAAATCCTTTGAATTATTCAATGGAGAAATACTTCGGGAATGACCTCTGGAAGTACTTCGAAAATGATCTAAAAAAATACTTCGAGAGCGATCTCGGGGAGAAGCACTTCTAGAACGATTTTGGAGATATTTTCTAGAACAACTTCTGGAATTTTTTGTTTTTTTGTTTTTTTTCTAGAATCTTTTTTTCTTACTATGCTCTGATCAATAATCATCTCTTGCGAACTGGTTTCTTTTTTTTTGCCCTTGACTTCGTTCTTTGGGCCTAAAAATAAGAATAGTTGATTAATTTCCCAGTTATACATTGCTTTTTAACTAATGACTTTCTTTATATTATAATATCCCTTTTGAGCTCAGAGCACCCGATTCATCATTAGAGTCATCAAAAGATTCATTCCTTCTGTCAGACATGCTATATATTGATTGGCCTCTTTTGAATAAATATTACTAAATATGAACAAAAAATAAACTGATTATATACTAATATTTTTTCACTAGAAATGGCTTGTTCAAGTTTTACTACACTATTGCTGAATTATTTTACTATCAAAGTTGTAATTAAGAATTATAAATAACTTGTAAAAAGCCAAACTAACGTTTTAACAGGAGGTGATATCTATCCTTCATATTCATCATCAAAATCATAACCATATTCTAATTTTTTTCTACATGGTGGTGATTTTTTATATATTACGAAAGGAGTTTAGGCAAAACGCTATGCTAAAAAGTTTAAAAAAGGATAGTTTTTAAATAAAGATAACTTTAGGTGAGAAATTTTGGCATACTAAATTTATAAATGATTTTATTTTATTTTATTTTTATTTAAAAAGATCATGATAAATAAAGACATTACTTATTAAACTATCAAGCAAAATGTTTGCCAATGATGATAAATGGCGAATGTAAAAGAGAAAAAGTCCTTTAGAATGATTATGAATCTAAAATAGTTGAACATTTTTCTTATACTAATATGCTATGACTATCGTAAAGACCTGGAAATAATACTTGTAACAAATATCACATAGTTGTAATTTGTAGATTTGGGAATACTGTTATGAATTGACAGTTATTATATGCAACTGATTGAAAGGTAACAAGCGAAAAGAAGAAGTGATATCATTATACATACAGTATTTAATGCAATATATATTGTATCATAAAGTGCCATGCCGAAGACCCGGTGTAATACAATTTTTTACAATAGAAAAATTTTCAAATCACATATGTTATGTATCACATAATGTATAAATAATATTTTAAAAATTAATCTATCATATTTGCCACACCAGATCTTCGGTATAGCACTTTACAGGTATATATGTACGTATATATGTATGTACATACGTATTAGAGTGATAACTCAACTAAGTAAATCAAAACTATGTTAGCAGTATTAGTAATTTTACTATAATCAGATTTTAATCAGTGAAATAATCAATTAAATATAATATTACATATATTTAATTGTCCGAAGCGAAGCGAAGGACATATTTCTATGCACTTTAATGACCAAAATTACCTTTTTGATACATTTATAGTAAAAATATCAAAAATGCAATTGTTGCATTTTCTGTCTGTCATGCCAAAGTAAACCTTATTTCGACTTCTAATAAAAGTTGTAGAGGCGTGTCTTGATATCAAAGTGGCGGTTAAAACGTTAAAATCGGCCCAGTAGATCGCGAGATATAAGCATTTTTGTCTTCGCGTTATATATTTTTTTCTTTATAAATAAAAAAGAAAGCATATAGTCACGAAGACTAAAATACTTATATCTCACGATCCACTGAGCCGATTTTAACGTTTTAACCGCCATTTTGATTGCAAGACAATATTCTACAACTTTACTTATAAGCTAAAAAGATATTGACTAAGCAAAATTTTAAAAATCACAACATTTTTTATAATTTTATTAATAAAATTATAGAAAATATTAAAATCCACAAATTTGTATTAATTAAATCTACCTTTATGCTCTAAGTAAACTGGTTCTACGCATAAAAATACATTATATAGGCATATATTTACCTTATAATTTCAAATTTTAAGAGAAAAGATGCTTAATTTTGAAATTTTGATCAAAAAGTCAAAATTAAGTATCTTTTCTCTTAAAATTTAAAATTATAAGGTAAACGTATGCCTATATGATGTGTTTTTATGCGTAGAACCAGTTTACTTAGAGCATAAAGGTAGAATTAGATAGTAAAATTTTGTGGATTGTAATATTTTCTATAATTTTATTAATAAAATTATGGAAAATATTAAAATTCATAAAATTATATTAATTAAATCTACCTTTATGCTCTAAGTAAACTGGTTCTACGTATAAAAATATATCATATCAGTATATGTTTACCTTATAATTTTAAATTTTAAGAAAAAAGATGTTTAATTTTGAATTTTTGATCAAAATTTTAAAATTAAGTATCTTTTCTTTTAAAATTTAAAGCTATAAGGTAAATATATACTGATATGGTGTATTTTGCTTCAGACTCATATCGGTTTCTGGTTCCGGTTCCTAGTATATCATAGAGTCAATTTCTTTTTTTGGCTTGTATTCTTCTTTCCATTTCGCCTTCATCTCTTTAAAGTTCTGATTTCTTTTTCTAAATTGTCTTCAAAGTGAGAAATTACTTGTTATTTTACTCCTTTATCATTAATCAATTTCAAGTTATGAACTCTGGAATTCTCTCCTACCAAGACTCTGTCAATCGTAATTTTGTTATATGGCCTATTTAACAGACTTTGGAGCATTTTCTTTTTGTTTTTTTCCATTATACTGAATCTCAATTCTATTTTTTCCGAATTTTGCCTTCTTTTTTTTTCCGCTCTTCGTCACCTACTTTCTTTCTAAGAACTTTACCCTAATTTTTTAATTCCTCTAATTTAATTTGACTCCAAGTCTCTGGTAGTTATGCAATTTGCATCTGGTGCAGCTGATTTATTTCATCAATTTTTTTATTTAAGCTTTTTTTCTCGTTAGAGTTAATCTTTGCGAAAGGGCTTTTCTAACTTCTTTTTTGTAAATAATATAAGAACTTGATTTCTTTATAGATTTCAGACTTTGGGATTGTCTTCTTTTCCTGCGCTTCAGTTTTCTTAACATTAACCCAAAGTATATGTTCTAATGCTGCACTACTAATATTATCTCATTCAACATTAATATCTATAGGTGTGATATGTGAAATTTTTGCATTTCTGGTTTGACCTTTTGTACAAAGAATACACTCTACATGTACACTATATGCCTCTCAATCTTCCGACGATGCCTTGTGATACAGGAAAACTCTTCTGGTTGGTCTTTCATGATTTCTTCTACTAAGTTTTCCATATCCAAGTATTTTACTTAACTCAAACTTTTCACATACCATTTTGTAATCGCTACCTGTTACTAAATTAATGTCCTTAATTGTAGCTTCTTTAAGAAAATTTTTCATCTCTTCTCCAATCCATATATAGTCAATTTTTGAGGCTATTTCATCTTTTTGCCAGGTGTATTCATTTTTGTGCGGATTTAAGTACCTATAAGAGTCTATCATCTTTCTATTTTTACATCATTCAAGAAGAGTTTTTCCTAGCCCTTGATTTTTGCATTCTGTGTTACTAGTATCTAATCTTGTATTACATATTGCATTAAAATCTTCGAGTATGCTTACGTATGTGTCGATCTTATTTTTACATATTTCTTGCACTACTATACGTTGCACCTCCTTGTTGATTTTTTTATTAGCTGGTGGCAAATATAATATCCATATCTGTATAACTGCTTTTTTAAAGAAAAACTCTAACTTTAGCACATATGGATTGTATTTTTTGACTATAGCTAGATGACTTGACCAATTCTTACTAACTAGAGCCCTACTCTTGACCCTTTTAATTTATCTACTTCTTTTGTTGACCAAAAACTTATATATCCAAATTATTTTACATCTAACTATCTACCCTCTTCCTTGTTTATATTAGTTTCTACCATTCTGATAATGTCCAAACTCTCTTCTTTACCTAAAGCTGCTAAATTTCTCAATTTTTGCTTATTTAGCTTTAAACCATTTATATTATGAAAACCTAAACTAAGTTGTTTATAACTATTACCCTTATTATTATTATTTTTTTCCTTTAGATCCTCACATTGTTTTTGTATATTGGGCTTTTCTGAAGCAGAAGTGAGGATTTCTGTTATGCCTATATAACTTGATTCACCAATGGTGCCTTTTCGAAGTGCATTGCAAGTATATGCTCTGTTGTTTTAAACTTTTGCCTTATTTCTACAAGAATTTCCTCTAACTCGTTTGCTTCTTGCCTTTCAGTTTTCTTTTCTTTTCAATCAGCGATTAGTAAACTGTTTGAACCTGCTGCAAATTTTGTTTCCTGAGATAGATTTATACTATTTATATTGGAAAGAGGCTTTCTGGTATTACTTCTGGCTCGTATGCTACTCCTTTTACTATTTGTAA